GAGGTTGTTGTGAGCTATGACAGCAAAGCTGTCTACAGAGGGCAATAGCTTGAGAGTTTGTCTCAAAAAAAAAAAAAAAAGGTCATTGCTGAATAAAATACATAACATTGTTCAGTATGCCAGTGAGTTGATGCTTAATCAGTTTGGCCCAGGAGGTAACCTGAGATAGAGTTCGTTAGTTTTTGTGGTATATGATGAAGATGTGTTCTTTTTATTTTTGTTTTGTTTTGTTTGAGACAAAGTCTCACTTTGTCGCCCTTGGTAGTGTGCTATGGTGTCATAGCTCATAGCAACCTCAAACTCTTAGGCTCAAGCGATTTTCTTGTCTCAGCCTCCCAAGTAGCTGGGACTACTAGCGCCCACCACAACACCTGGCTATTTTTAGAGATGGTCCGCCACAACACCTGGCTATTTTTAGAGATGAGGTCTCACTCTGGCTCAGGCTGGTCTCAAACCTGTGAGCTCAGGCAATCCACCCACCTCGGCATCCCACAGTGCTGGGAATACAGGCATGAGCCCCGGCGCCCAGCAATAGGTTCTTTTTAAAAGATGTAGGATTCGTATCTGTGTGTTTGTTTGTTGAGGCTGCCTTTTGATCATTTAAGTCTTTCAGTTAACAAACACTCATGTAGCACTTAATGTGTGTCAAGTGCAGATCTAACCCAGTTTAGAGATCAGGAGGCAGGGAAGGGAACAGGGCTGAGGCCGGGAGTGTTTAACTCACCCAAGCCAGCATGGCCAGTAAGTGGCAGACTTGGGATTCAAACTCCAGAGTTCATGCTCTCAAGCCTTGTGCTGTATGCCCTCAGGTTAGTTGCTGTTCTGAGCTAAAATCAGAAAACCATTTTTGTATTAGCCACATGACTCGTAACACTTGTAGCAAAGTGTTGATGAGAAAGGTCTACAGTTAACCATGCTCAGAGGCTGTAAAGTTCTGAGAGAGATACTTCATATTTCCATTGGCCATGAACTAAAATCATAAGCTATCTGGAAATATTTTTAGAAATCATTAGTTTATATCAGTCCTGGAGTTAGTTTACTTAATTCAATCATACAAATTACTTCTCTCATTTTAGAACCATCAGATGATTCGCTGAAGACTATAGATTTAGTGGCCCTATTACTTCTAAATAAAATTACAACCATTGGCCCCCTGTGGCTATTTTCACATACACTTCTTATCTGTGTGTATTGATAAACATTCTAAAGAAAGGCCAAATGACTTAACAAAGTAGTATTCAGCAATGTGTACCTATGAT